CAAACCTTTTTATCGTGTGTCGTGTTTGATTGCATGCTCGAATTGTAAGATGTGTAGTCAGCTTGCTCAGATTCACATCTCACCCATTTTCAAATTTCAGTCCTTCAGTCGTCACTCAGTTTCCCATACTCGCAAAGGGCCAGCATGGGTGTTTATTGTGGACCTAATGATAGTAATAAAACCAGGAGATAAACAGTGCTTAATTGAGTTTGCAGGCTTCAAGTGCCTGAGAAACAAAGTCATTGGACTACTTATAGATAGCCAGACCAGCCACTCATGTGTTCGTTTGCCCAAGGGCTTGCTTGAAAATCATCATGTTACTGCTCTGTTCACTGATGACACATACAAAACATTTTTCTGGTCAAACTGTGTTGCAGAACACTGCATTGGACACAGTAAATTAAGTGAATGGTGTCAAACATTATACAGGAACTGTTGGGAATACTGTCTGCAGGTATAATTTTTGAGCTTGTTATTTTTATGCCTTAGCTGCTGTGCACTCTATATGACTTAATTTTACGAACCATGCGGACCAAACTACATGTCCCCGCATTTCCTGAGACTGTTTTTCTGGACTGCTAATGGCTGATGTAAGCGACCATTTATCAATTTTTTGTTTACTGCCAAATATGGAAGTCAAACGCGAGACCGCGTGGAAGCCTTATCTCGCAGCATTAGTGCTGCAGGCTTGGAAGTGTTTCGCTCACATATTCAATCAGTCGATTGGACATGCGTGTTTGAGAAAAGAAATCCGAATGCAGAATACGAGGCATTTTTCGAAAAACTTAGACAATGTTATACAGTCGCCGACCGATTTTCCGGACTCCAAAAATTCGGACTTGTTGGATATTCCGGACTTCATAAATGCACCGTCAGGGATCCCATAGAGCTAATGCATTGTTTCGACCAATTTTTCGGGCGAATTTGCCCCTGAAAGTTCGATTTTTCTGACTAAATCGCTCGTTTTGTGCCACGCCTCAAGCCATTGTGAACGCCGCCATGTTGGATTTTCCGTCGGCTTGGCTAAGCTTGGTCTTCAGATGCCTTTCCTGCCTCCGAGATTGGAATGCGCACGCCATATTTTAAGTTTCGGAGGCCGTGTTTGCTTTTTGAAAGACGCGGTAATGGATGCCGTTTTTTCGTCTTCGGTCAGCACTATCGTCATCACATCGCACGGGGAGGAGGCGAAAGAAGGATTCTTTTATTGTCGTTGCAGCTTGTTTCAGTCGCCATTCTGCACGTGTTGTGTCGCGTAGCGTCGAGACGTTGTGTGCTTCGCAGCGGCTGTCTGCGGCGTCGAATTTTTTGTTCTCGGTACCATGGCTCCGCTATCTGTGCCATCGCGGGAGCCAGGTGGTGTGAAGAAGCGTGGGAAGTATACGACCCTGACGATGGAGAAGAAAGCTGCCACTTAGGACTATGTTATAATCAAGCATTTCCAATGACCTTGCGAAAACCAAAACCCAAACGTGCAAGGAAGCCGTGGATTGATGAAAAGCTATTGAAAATGAGTAAAACAAAAAATAAAATGTATCACACATTTGTTCGGTCACGGAACTTGGAGGCATAGTCAGAGTTTAAAAAAATACCGAAATAGGTTGAACACCGACTTAAAGCATGCGAGGGAAACATATTATGAAAAGTTATTTACGAAAATAAAAAATGACTCTAGCAAGGTGTGGGACGAGGTTAAGAATTTAATGTCAGAGAAAAAAAGAGCCGCCACCGCTATGTTTTCATACTAATGCAGGTACCTTATCTGATAGTGACGCAGCGAATAAGATGATTACTTTGTCACCAGTGCAGAATATAAAAACGATAGCAATATAGCTCCCTGTGTTACATTAAAAGAGTGTGGGCTTATAAACTCTGTGTCACTATCCCCAGTGACATCAGAGGAAGATATACAATTGATAAACCAGATTAAAAATAACGTAGCCACTGGCTTTGATGAGATCAAGGCAACTCCGCTAAAATACGTAGCTGATATTATAGCTCCAATGGTTGTTTATATAATAAATAGAATGTTCGAAACTGGTATTTTCCCAGACAGCCTAAAAATAGCGAGAGTGTGCCCCGTCTTCAAGGGTGGTGATAAACGGCTATTCACAAACTACAGGCCAATATCTGTTCTTCCTGTTTTATCTAAGGTATTTGAGAATGCAATAAACGTACGCTTGTACAAATTTTTTGACTAGTACAATGTGATCAGTGAGGCTCAGTATGGTTTTCAAAAAAATAAATCTTGTGAAGCAGCTTTGCTTAATATTAAACATGAACTGATCACAAACATCGAACATAGATGGTACTCACTAGGTTTGTTCATAGACTTTAGAAAGGCGTTTGATTCGGTATGTCATGAAGTACTAACGGCTAAACTTAGCAAGTATGGTGTATGTGGTGTGGTTCTTGAGTTAATGAAAAACTAACAAACCGCCATCAATATGTTTGCATAAACAAAAGTGCGTCTACTTAAACATAACAAGAGGAGTACCACAAGGGTCAATTCTTGGTCCTCTATTGTTCATAATTTATATAAACGACCTGTGTGATATCCCATGTTCTCCCAAGTTGATAATGTATGCAGATGACGCTAACATATTCTTTAGCGGCACATCCATTCTAGTTCTTGAACACCAGATTAATAACTACCTACGAAAGTTGTCCCCGTATCTTAGTTTGAATAAACTGCTACTAAATGTTAGTAAAACAAAATACATTATCTTTGCCCCACCTAATAAGCCGCGTAACTATAGTTCAACTGTTTTATTTGAGGGCAAAGAGATAAAGCAAGTCACTAGCCAGAAGTTCCTAGGTGTATGGTTTTCTGAGGGATTGGCATGGAACACACATATAAAAAAACTAACGGTAGAACTCAGTAAAACCGTTGGATGTTTATATGAGCTCAGCCCAGTCTTACCAAAATGGTTACAAATAGAATTATACTATTGCCCTTTTCTACTCTAAAATGACATATGGTATCTTGGTATGGGGTACTACTACACAAACTATCAAAAATTACTAGTTCTGCAAAAAAGAGTTTTGTGAGCATTCGAGCAATACCATGGTATTATCAGGAACTTGAAAACCAAACAACTCTTTGAAAAATACGCATTACTAACAATAACAAAACTGTATCATTTCAAACTTCTGCAGTGGATTAAACAAAACAAGCCACAGTGTCTTCAGAACCCGCCTGACAACACTCATTATACTATGCGTCAGCAACGCCGGAAAATCCCAGCAATAAGGACAAGTTATGGCAAGCAACACGTTCAGTATCAAATACCCACAATGTTAAATCGTTTACACGGTCTCATAGATTTTAATTCCGTACCTTCGAACACCATCATCAAGTCCATCCTAATGAACCATGATATTGAGTATGCTTATTAAAGTTTCTGTACTTCATTTGTTACATCCTATCTATCAATTTGAGTTGCGTGTTGTTGCTTTTCTTATGCTTTATTTTACATTCTGTATTGAAGTTTCTTTTCAGATGACGCTTTTGTGATAAAGTGATTTTTCTAATGTTTTTCCCTGAAATAGTGTGACAAGACCATGCTAAATTTTGTTGTGTTATGGTTTATTTATTGTGTTATTTATTTATTTCTGTGTGTTATTTGTTGCGTTATATATTTATTTCTGAAAACATATGCGACAGATTGAGCAGCCTGCGTGCCAAACTGTATTTAGTAGCAGAGGCCCCATGACAGGCTATATATATAGCCTTTAGCCTCTGCTCCCGATCCTGTAAGAATTTCGGGACAAATAAACTTCAATTCAATTCCATTTGTGTGCAGCTCAGCAAATTCCACGTCTTGTAGGTTTATAAGCCATTTTACCGAAACGAGCACTTTGCATGATGTGTAACTAGTGTTTCTCTGATAAAAATGCCTGCATACTCAATTTTCGTGCACATTAAAGGATTGCTGGATGACGTCGGGAAATTTTCATGCAAAAGAGAAAGTCACGTACAGTCATGAATACATAGAAGTTGTTTGATGGTATTCTTGCCTTGAGCATTTATAAAGGGAACAATAAATAAAATTGGTGCTACTTTGATGCAGAGTGTCTGTTGCAGCAGCGGGAAGCCTATTGTGAAGTGTGTTTCAATAACTGTACTTCTAAATAAAAAAAACAGTATGTAGCGTTTAAAATTCGAGCTTACAAAATACTTTTACACATCATGTCTGTGTCCAAGCAAAGTTGTTTTAAAACAAAGAGGCTTGAAGGAAGACAACTTTTTGTCTATACACATTTACCTTTTATTATCTGTTGAGGTATATATAATTACAATAAAGGTGTATGCATGTGGTTGGGTCATGCATAACTGTTAGCAACAAGACTCGATTAGAAATGCATTTACTGTCTCTAGATTAGGAAATATACGCAAAGACGAAGGAGACAGAATGTTAGTAATTGGTAGCATAAGGGCAAACTGGTCAACAGCTCAAGGCCGAATGGATACTTCACAACCTAGGGAACACCCCCTAGCTTGAAAATTTGAAATTAGCTGTAAGTTTGCTTTTCCTCAAAAATGTTTTACCCACTAAACCTCCTGTTTTGCCAGACTGCTTTTTTGTCTTGAAGCACATTAACCCCTCCACACTCCAATGAAAGTGCGGAAGCACCACTAAAGCTTTAGAAAACGCTGAAAGAATGTCATGCCTCAGTGTGTCCCCCCCCCCCCCCCCTCTCTGTATAAAGATAAAGGGAGAAACAAAAGGAAGCAAAGGCACAGGTTAGTGGTCAAGGGAAAAATGATTTGCCTGCTAGTCTATTGTGGAAGCTGTCCATGCGGAAAACAAACTTGCTCGGGCATGCACAGTAACCATTTTGCAAGCTGTCAGTTTTTCTTCTACCAGAGGTTTTTCTCTTACAGATTTTGTGGTGGCTTGTGACGTCATCGTCAATTCAATCATTCCTTTCATAAAGCTTAGATGAACAGGAGTAACGGGGACGTAATGTCTGCTGGGCGCTGTCACAATCTGTCACAGATACACTAGCCCCGGTGTGGCCCCCGCCGCGGTTCTGTGGAGCCCTGGCCGTGGGAAAGCGTGCCGCTAGCAGCATCTGCTCAGAGAAGCAGCGCAGCGCCAACGCGGAAGCACCCATTGGCCATCAGGGAGGGCGGTGGTGGTGGGAGAGTCTTGTGGCCGCAACAGTGCCGTGCAGCTGACTAGAGCAGCATGGTGAAGACTTTCCAGGCGTACTTGCCGACCTGCCACCGCACCTACAGTTGCATTCACTGCAGGGCCCACCTGGCCAACCACGACGAGCTCATCTCCAAGGTACTGATCGCATCACCGCTCGGCGTGTTTCTTTTTTCCTCTCCCTGCTGCGAATTGGGATATTCGAGATAGAATCATGTAAATATGCGGGTGCCAAAAGCGAATCGAGCCTGACATTGATATTTCTCCGATTACTATTGTGGCAAGAGGCATCAATACCCTGCACTTCCATTAAAGTCAGGGGTATTGTACAAGGCATGATGCTTGCCTATTGTGGGTATCAAAACCAAGAAAGGGCTTTTATAAGTGCATGTTATGTGTGGCTCTGTTTGCACCATCTACCTTACCATAGTCTGTGTGCTATTGCATTGCACCTGCATGTAGTAAGGATTTGAAAGCTCTTCAAACATCAATCACTTGTTTGTGAGTCTCTTGTAGCTGTGTGTCGCATCTGGTTGTAGTGGTGTGTGTCACTATTGGCTATTACAGCATGGACTTGTTTGCCATTTTAATAAGGTAAACTGTTAGGCTAGTTTAAATATAAAGCAATGAATGTGAAATTGTGACGTGTTACGCTTTGAATGAAAGAGAACATGTGCTGTGGGAAGGGAAATGCAAAGCTGTTCTTACTCATTTATTTTGAGTATGTAAAAAAATAAAGAGGAGCTAACCACTTTCTTTGACAAGCAAAAGTTCTTTGCTTGCTTTAAAGGCCTTAATGCAAGAATAAACGTGTCAAGCATTGTTGCAACCATTTATGTAAACCTGCCAGTGAGAACACTTGAGAGCGCACATAAAGAAGGTGTTTACTTCTGAGTTGCTTTGATACGCTCGCCTGCAAAAGGGCCAGAAGAAAAGCCGTTGCCTGTTGTGGCAGTGGCCTCTATAATTAAAACTAAAACAGGTTCCTTAGTGGGTCACTGGCTTTCGAGGGTAGCGGCTTCTCCCTCGCCTAATTGCAGACACATGTGCGGAGTCTTCCGTGCGCGCTCTTTAATGTTGGAGGAAGTTGGAGATTAAGAGATTGTGGGGAGATGCATATCTGGGAGGGCAAAACCGCGTGGGGATGATTGTTTTTATTGTCTCTCATTCGTTCTGCTTCTTTCCTTTTGTTCTCCCAGTCGTTACGATTCGCGAGCCAATTAGGGCAGAGAATGGGTGTCCATTATTAATCATACCAGAGCTCTTCCTGGTCGCATTTTGAGTGTTGTTACATAATGACAGGGTAATAGCCGCCTTGTTAAAGTCACGGGACTACAGCAGTCGGCATGTGTTTTTTTTTTTCTTCTTTTTTTCCCATTTTTTTTCTTTCAGGGTGTTTAATAATATCACCAAGGAGGAAAAGCAGCTGCAGTATTTCATGTAGCCAGTAGTTAGTAGTGTTTCCGTGAGATGTCTTGCTAAAGACTCAGGCTCTGTATATAAATTTTGGAGCGCACTCTTTTGCACTGCCTGTAATGAAAGTATTTCTTTGCAAGGCTGTGCATGTAACTTGTTTAAGGAACATTAAAATAAAGTGTGTGTTCAATGTGCATGCTTAGTTTTAGGAGAGAGTTTTTTTGCGTGTGACGGTTGTTTCTTCGCAGTTTGTTTTTTATCATACAATTTCAAGCAGCATAATTATGCCTACTTGTTTATTAGCTACTAATGTTTAGTAATGCTTAATAATGCATGCTTAACTCTCCTAGCAATTTTTGAGAAACCAGCATGTGAAATGAAGTTGTATGTTGATTGAACCAATGCATTCAGTTAACGAAAAACTCCCTTGGACTTGTTTGCGCCAGAGTTGTCAGGTGTGGAATATCTGGAGCATTGAATTAGTATTTATTTTGACACCTTAACATTTAGAATTTAACGGGAAATTAATGCCTTTGTCGTCTGCTTTGATACAGTTCTTCTAGCTATGAGGCTACTGTTACAAAGGCTGACTCACAATTGTGACTACACGTAACTCTTTGATTAAACATCTGACTGTGGGTGGTTGTTTAATTCTGCACTCTAGAGATGTTGAAATCATGCAAGACTGTCAAGCTCTCGTGTAAGGTGGAACTGGCGTGAAGGCATGCAATTATAGCTGAAAGGGACTCATTAAGAGTTCCTCAAGAGAAAGTTTGTGCAGTGGAAGAAGAATTCATAATTGCAGCATATATCGTCCAGGTCAAGTAATAAAAACTGGCGTGCTGTCTCTGTGGAGCAATTGATAATAGAAAAATCAGTTGAGAAAGTTGGCAGCTAGCTATGAAATGTTCATCTTGGACCATTATCTTTTTTCACCACCAATCTCTGCCATGCTTCTTCTCATTTTTGTTCATAATTGGGTGATCTTATTCCAAGCTGAATGAATTGACTGCCTTTTGACAATTCTATTTCTTCTGTCCAAGCTTTTATACCGAAAAGTGCTCTTAAAGTTTAATTTGTATTTTGGTGTGCTCCGTACAGGCGGACGAAAAATTTCCATTTTCGGGAACTTGGTTCCCCTGTTTCATCTGTTGATTACAGGCACATCACACGCACTTCAAAAAAGTCCAAGCATGGCCTTTGAGTATGTCAAGCTGTATGTTCTAAAACGGTACTATGCATGGCATGGCTAAATAAAATAACATAGTGAGCTGAAGGGCAAATGAAGACAAATATACCTTTATGCCTAAGCTCTAGTTCACAATTAGGCTACACTGTCACATTTGCTATCACACGCAATCGGCTAGCTCAATCATTGATTTTAATAAGCATGAGGGCTACTTGTTTCGTGCAGCTTCAGAATGGCTTCCCTCATTTTCTTTACACATGCTGCACCATCTTCAGGGACTGGTATCAACTTGTCTCATCATCGACAGTGTGTTCTCTGGCCCGTGATCCAGAATTAAGGCCAAGTGTGAGAGGCCATGAGCTTGAGCCCTGATTAAGGTCAAGTGCCACTTTAGGGCTATCGCAGAGGAGGAGGAGGCCTCCACATGTCTCACAGATGGGAAGAAGAGAGCACTAGCTGAGCCGTGCAGCATCCAGAAATGCATGCCAACTCTTGAAGCTGTATTCATTTGCCAGAATCTTATTGAAGGCGCATGATTTCTCTCGTCGCGAAGTGCGTAGGACAAACATTTGGTGCAACTGGTGGTGGTGCGAAGGTGATTGCAACTCTGGATTTGCAGCAGATTAGTGTTGTTAAATGAGGTAGTTAGCAGGGGAGGCATTAGTTACACTGTTGACATTGGACTGAAGAAATTTTAAATTTGTGAGTTGCCATTGCCTTGCAGTGTGATTGAAAAGGATATTGAAATAAATGTTTATTGTTTCAGTTTCACGTTCATTCTGCCAAAAAAAGCTCCATTTCGTTTCTGTTGCGAAATGAAAAAAAAAAAAAAGAAGTTTTATAATGGCTTTTATTTGTATTGAAATATTTAAAAATTAATGTAACAGTACTTATTTTCCTAATAAGCGAAATACAAATTCTCAAAGCACGCTGAATGCTTTGAATCAAGGGTGTGAGCACGATCTCAGAAGCAGCACGTCATAGAATGGTATGTGAGATCTCTGTTGGGATAGAACAAACCTCAGCGCTAAGAATGTCCTCTTCATGTTAGCCTGTGTGGCTTCCACACCAAGGACCACTCTTGTTTTTACAGCTCTGGTTGTCGCAGTTTTCGTTAGTCTCAAAATTTCAATGCATCTTTAATTTTGAATACCTGCCTGAAATGTGCAAAGCTCTGGTTGTCGCAGTTTTCGTTAGTCTCAAAATTTCAATGCATCTTTAATTTTGAATACCTGCCTGAAATGTGCATTAATTCTCACATTGCATAACATACAGTTTTTGCGGATTGCCGAACCTTCTCTTTAACCAAAAACTGATGAAAAAAATTTTTGTTTACACTCCAAAACAAAATAATAGTTAGGTAACGTTTCAGTTACATTCCTGTTCCGATCGAAAATGTCATTTTTTTAATCACTATTTGTTAGTTCTCTCACACTGGTTTGAAAAATGATTAAGCACTTGTTGACCTTCTTGGTAAATCTCTTAGTCCAGTGCACTTACTTTGATAATAGCAGAAGCGGGTGAGAATGCTGGCACTCTACTGCATAGCAACTATGACGAAAGAAAAGAGCATGCATGGACAAGCGCATGCAAAGGTGCTAAATGATGAACTCTATCCAACTAGGCCAAGTAGCAGTTTTGCTGTTATATGACTAGCACATATTAAAAAAAAGAATACAGAAAAAGGCGAAGGATTCACATTATAAGTGGTAATAATTAGTTAAGTGTTGCTTCTAACAGCTTTGGCACATTTTGTGGCTGACTTGCCTGATTTAATTGACAATTAGTTAAGTGTTGCTTCTAACAGCTTTGGCACATTTTGTGGCTGAGTTGCCTGATTTAATTGACACTACACTTTAGTGGGAATCAACGAGCTGTGAGACCAGTACTGTGGGAGAATACAGATGGTTCCAGTGACCTTTGGCCCTTAGACTTGCTTGCTTGTTTGCTGACATTGGGTAAGAGATTCAATACAGGGTTATGTTTCATTGTCGTAATTTGTTTTTGCTTGTTTTCCTATGCAGTCATTCCAAGGAAGCCAAGGAAGGGCTTACCTCTTCAACTCAGTGTGAGTATTGCCTGCTTGCTTGTTCTTAAATGTTGCATCTTGTCTCTTTCTCAAATGGTATTGTACCTGAGTGATATTACACCCAGTCTTGCTCTGAAATCATATTACTTCAATTCTCGTAACGATTTGATATTGCACCCAATAATGTTCTGAAATAATGTCCCGTCCAACCTCATTCTGAATATCTATGCTCGACCTATTTCTGGAGTAGTATTACACCCAATCTCGTTCTGAATTAATATTACATCCCGTCTCTTTCATGAATGGTATTGCACCTAATTTCATTTGAAAATCATATTACGCCCAGTCTTGTTCAGCATTAATATTCCACCCAATCTTGTTCTGAAATAATATTACGTCGCATCTCTTTCCAGATTATATTACAGCTAATATTGTTGTCAGATAATATTACACCCAGTCTCATTCTGTAGTAATATTGCACAAAATGTTGTACTAAAATAATGTTACATGGCATTTAATTCTGAAGCGATGTTGCACCCAATCTTGTTGCAGGGTGAATGTCGGATGTGGGCCTGCAGAGGAGCGCTACTTACTCACGGGCCTCCATGCGGTGGCCGACATCTACTGCGAATGCTGCAAAACCACACTTGGCTGGAAATATGTGAGTCATGGCACTGTGATGTTGTGTTTTATTTGCCTGATATATTTATATATATAGGCAGTTGTCATTTCATTTTGATTCTATACTTCATATACAGCCTTCCTCAGAGACGTATAACTCATTGCTTGTTTAACAATAACGATATTATCAAGCTATACATTTACAAGCTTTTACACCTATATGATCGAACTAATAGAAACATTTATCGACTATGAAAGATGTAGCTTGTGTAAAACGTTATCAGCCAAAATACCCACATCGTCATCAACCACCTTTGATGCTTCCTTGTACAAGAAATAAATATGGAACAAAAAATTACTTATAAGTTACTGTCGCAATTCAACAGATTATATTTCAGATATTCACATGGCAGATAGCACCCTTTCTCAACTTTGCCATACCTAACACTCCTGGCATGAAAACTTTTTCTTTGAACTTTCTGGCCAAAATTAAAGATAAAAAGAGTAAACAAAAGAGAGGATGATAATACAACCACTGCTGTGTGTATATCTCGTGTTTGGTGTATTTGTGGTTTATATATTAAGTCTTCTGATTTATGCTTGTATATATATTCATATCATTGCATTTTTTTCCAGTGCCGCCATCTGCAGCGTGTTTAAAAGCTGTGTAATTTCTAATATTGTTTCTTCCAAATGCGGCTAAGTCTAATTATGCAAGCGACATCCTTCTGCTGATTAACCATCTAATCTAGCCACCACCACTGCAAATAAAACTGGCAACCTCTACTTTGGCAGTGTAATGGAGCATTCATTGCACCACCACATCTAGTACTTTTAATAGGGAAATGCATATTTAGGCTGAAAATTTGAGAACCTTCTTTTGTTTCTTATTTTGCTTAAGTTTGTGCGAATAGTGAATATTAGGTTCGAAGCGAATAGTGATTTTGGTCGAATAATCTGGAATGAAATTTAAATAGTATATATTAAATATTATAAAGAATAATGTACATAGTTCGCATGACCCAACAACCTTCACAATATTTTTTTCTATTGAAACAAGGCTTGTGCAAATGTCTTTTTTTTATCAAAGTAAGCAGAAACAACTTTGAATAGCAGCTCCATTTGACTTTCGGTATAATGCAAGTGATAACCTGTAAACTATGTTACGTTTTAAAACTTCCTATACCACTTGAAAAAATTAAGCCGGCTTAACAAGGTTTTAAACTTAAAAAATGATGAATCGGTGCGTGGGTAATATGTTCATTTGACCTTTGCAGTGGGGCTTCGCTGCAGTGCAGATTTTCTTTGGATAGTTGTTTTCATGGCTTAGCACCCCCTTACACCAGGGAAACCATCTCTACGAAAGGTTACATGTGGGCTAATGTACACTTGCACGGCCGCTGGATGAAAAAGCGCACGGTACGGCCTGCCGCGTCGAGCGGCTTCATATGGGAGATCGCGTGTCAGCCGTAGGGTCAATTGGGGCTGCTGCAGTGCAACGGCGACGGGAGGGACGGGAAAACAAGGAGTGGCAGCGGCCGGTGCAAATTAGCTGGTGTTTGTCACAATAGTGACCTACTCAGTTGTTCTAATAAGTGTTTTTTTTTAAATCTCATTTATTGCAGCGATGACATATTGCATATTTAGTAGGCTACAAGGCACTGTCTAGTTAAAAAGCCAATTCATTTTGCCTGTGCATGCCGAGCACCTGAGGTTCTTTTTTTTTTTTTTTTTTAGAACCAGTTTCTTGTCTTGAGGCTGAAAGAACAATCCGAAATGCATGTATCTGATTGATATGGCACTGAATGCGAGACAAAGTCATTGTTCTATTTATGAAGATGTCTTAAACTAACGTATTCTGATTTTTGTGACGTTTATTCAGCACTTTCGCGTTTTCTCAGCCGGAATGCTTTACAATTATATTTCTGGACACTTGACAATAGATGTTCATAGTTTTTATATACTGAAAGCGTATGAAAGAAACATAATATGAATGTTTTTTATGCTATCCGGTACACGGTAGTGTGCCCCAAAGTAATTAAGCTTCAAACGCTGGATAAAAGTGGTTTCTACTGGCATGGTGACGCGCTCCTCGTAACTTTATTGAAGAGGCTGCAAAAGTATAAATCTTTCGAAGTGGCATTCAAATTTCTTGATACTTCTTACTAGGCAGGGATATATATATATATATATATATATATATATATATATATATATATATATATATATGGGTGGCTTATATCTGGAGCAGTGATTCTCAAATAGGGGTCCGAAGCCCTATGATCCGCGAAACCCTCACTCGCATTTTTCTTTAGATGTGACTGCACCACGTATTGATGAACTGTCCAAAATGAAGGGATGTGGCACGTTTGTTTGACGTTTTTGGTAGTGAAACGGGGTTTATTGGCGCAGGTAGTACTTGAACAGCAGGTCTATTAATGCGGAAAGCGGGCGGCAGCAAGGGACCCAGGAATCACAGCACTCGGGGCAAGCGCTCGCGCTTGGCTCCTCTCGCTAAAGGCGTGACCCATTGCGGCACATAATCTTCCTCTCTACAATACCCCGGCGACGAAGACTAGCCATCCTGGCAAGTCAAGGTGACGAGAGTAGGAGTGGGTCGTGATAGGGCTTGAGACGACTCACGTGGACAGTCTCACGACCAAGGCGTCGCCTGTCTGTAGATGGCGTGACCGGCTCGATCACGTATGTGACATGAGATCGACGTTCGACCATGCGATAAGGACCGTGAAACTTGGGGCCAAACGTAGAGGACAGACCTGGGGAGTGGAAGGGCAGTCTGAGCCAGACGAGTGAGCCCACGGCAAAAGTCTCGACTTGCTGGTCGCGGTCGTGGTGGTCTTTTTCGAGTGCTTGCTTGTCCGAGGTGAATGATCGGGCCAACTGACGACACTCTTCAGTGTGGTGCACAATTTCAGAGAGAGGGTTGAACTCTGAGACGTTGGGACGATACGGCAAAATGGTGTCAAGGGTGGAGCATGGCTCACGCCCATATAAAAGAAAGAAAGGTGAGAAGCCTGTGGCTGATTGCGTCGCGGTGTTGTACGCATAAGTCACAAATGGAAGAATAACATCCCAGTTCGATTGGTTGGAATTGAGATGCATGGCGAGCATGTCTCGTAGCGTTCGGTTGAAGCGCTCAGTTAGACCGTTGGTCTGCGGGTGGTAGGCTGTAGAGGTGCGGTGCATTGTGCGGCATGCCCAAAGGAGTTGTTGTACAACTTCGGATAAAACGACACGCCCTCGATCACTCAGCAGTTCACGTGGTGCCCCAGGACGCAGTACGAAGCGTCGTAAGACGAAATTGGCTACGTCACATGCACCAGCCGTAGGTAGTGGAGCTGTTCCAGCATACCTCGTCAGATGGTCGACCGCGACAATGATCCATCGATTTCCAGTGGCCGTGTACGGAAGGGGACCATATAAATAGATTCCAACGCGGTCGAAAGGGCGCGCCGGACACGGTAGAGGCTGTAATAATCCGGGTGAATGGGCCGCTGTCTTTCATCGTTGGCATAATGAGCAGGACAGAATGTATTTTTGTACAAAGGTGTACATACCAAGCCAGTAGTAACGCTGGCAGATCCGGTGATATGTTTTTAACACACCAGCGTGAGCATGTTGTGGGTCGGCGTGAAAATACGCACAGACATCAGATCGCATGTGGCGTGGTATAACCAAGGGCCATTAACGACCACCCACGTGGTAGTTTCTGCGGTATAGTTGCGCATCCCGTATCTCGAAATGTGTGGCTTGGCGGCGAAGAGCGCGTGGGTACGCAGACGCTGAGGAGTCGGAAAGAATGTTAACGAGAGATTTTATCCATGGGTCTTTCCGCTGTTCAGACGACATGCTTGAGACAGAAATGGGAGCGATGGGAAAGTTGGCGTCCGAAGGCAGGTCTGCGCTGGATCTCACTGGTGATCGTGAGAGGGCGTTCACATCAGAGTGTTTTCGTCCTGAGCGGTAGACGACACGAATGTCGAATTCTTGTAGGCGAAGAGCCCAACGTCCAAGGCGACCTGAAGGATCTTTTAGTGATGCCAACCAACAAAGTGTGTGGCGGTCTGTCACAACGTCGAAACTCTGTCCGTACAAGTAAGGACGAAACTTGCTTAACGCCCAAACGATTGCGAGGCTTTCTTTTTCACTTATGGAGTAGTTCATTTCCGCTTTCGTGAGTGCGCAGCTTGCATATGCGACGACGTACTCTGGAATACCGGGCTTTCGTTGCGCGAGTACTGCTCCCAGACCAACGCCACTGGCGTCTGTGTGCACTTCAGTGGGGGCACTTGGGTCGTAATGGCGTAGAATGGGTGGCGACGTAAGCAGGCGGCGCAGTGTAAAGAAGGCTTCATCACATTCCGGGGTCCAGTAGTTAGAAAGATTAGCTAGACCATCCAGTAGTTGCGTAAGTGGGGATATTATTGATGCAAAGTTGTGGACGAAACGGCAAAAATACGAGCACAAGCCGATGAAGCTCCTAAGTTCTTTGAGTGAAGTTGGCTTCGGAAAGTTGGCTACGGCTCGAAGTTTGTCCGGGTCGGGGCAAATTCCTTCCTTTGACCCAACGTGACCAAGTATAGTAAGTTGGAGAGCCCCGAAGTGGCACTTCTTTAGGTTAAGCTGGAGGTTTGCCTTTGTAAGACACTGAAGAATGGTGCGCAGACGGTCGACGTGGGTAGGGAAATCAGGAGAAAATACGATAACATCATCAAGGTAACATAAGCATATCTGCCATTTAAGGCTGCGTAAAATGCTGTCCATCATTCGTTCAAACGTTGCAGGTGCATTGCACAGACCGAATGGCATAACCGTGAATTCGTATAGGCCATCAGGCGTAACGAACGCTGTTTTGGGATGGTCACACTCTGCCATCGGAACCTGCCAGTAACCTGAACGTAAGTCCAGCGAAGAAAAGAATTCGGCACCTTGTAGGCAATCGATTGCGTCGTCTATGCGGGGAAGAGGGTACAGATCTTTCCGTGTAATTTTGTTCAGTCGCCGGTAGTCGACACAAAA